ACCCTAACTTAACTCTGGTGCTGTGTCACATATAGAAATTTTTTGATATTTGCAACCATAGTAAAACAAAGACTTATATTTTTGATATTTATTTTATATATTTAAATGCCATTTAACAAAGAAAAATCAACCAAAAAAATGAGTTCGCGTGTCTCCTCTGACACGCATGTCATAGGTTTGCCATCACTGACCTAGTTCCTTCTCCCCAAAAGAGTTCTTGTACCCAGACGCCAAAGGTCCAGATATTCCCCAGTGAGGATTTCTCGGTCAGGCTAGGCAGGAGGTCTCAGCTATTTCTATAAATCTTTTTTTTTAAATTGATTTCAGAGAGGAAGGGAGAGGGAGAGCTAGAAACATCAATAATGAGAGAGAATCATTGATCGGCTGCCTCCTGCACGCGCCCCACTGGGGATGGAGCTCACAACCCGGGCATGTGCCCTGCGGGAGTCTAACCATGACCTCCTGGTTCATAGGTCGATGCTCAATCACTGAGCTACCACAGCCAGGCACATTTCTGACTTCTCAGGTGTATGGCTGAGGACTGGGGGTGGCCAGGGGCCCCGGTCACTGACCAACGTCTGCAGCTCTGGACTCTGAGGAAGGTGGGAAGAGGAACCGTGACCATGAAAGTAACGGCCCCCAGTTTGTCATGTGCGCACTGTTATTCCCGGACCCATGTACCAGAGGGGGACACTGAGGGACAGGGAAGGCGGTAGCCCCCCTTCGAGGCACCACCCCAGGCTCCGTACCCACCACATAGGTACTCTGTGAGTCCAACAGAGGCCCCACATTTGCTGCATGAGGCAGACACCATGGGGCAGGGAGGGTCAGAGCAGTCACAGGCTCACAGAGATGGTCACGCCACATGCGGGTCTGGGGCCATGACACATGAAGGTGCAGGTACAGCAGGAAGGCACGGGGTTATGCATAGGAGCCTCAAGGGTACGGACAGGGGTGTGCTTCAGGAGAGGAGGACACTGCAGCCCACAGACCAGAAAAGCTCACGGACGCACACAGCAGGGGCTGGGGCACCACAACTTTGGACACACAAGTCCTCCCCAACTGACATCAAAACCCGCAGACACACACCCCTTGGACACACGACCTCTCAGAAACACAACCGTAGGACTCACAAACCCTCTGACACAATCTGCCCCTTAGGCTCACACCCCTCAGATTCACACCCTTTGGACACACAACCCCTGAACTCACAATCCTAGGACGCACCTCTTAGACACACAACTTTCAAAGCACAGCAGCACACTCAGACCTCCACGCCCAGCCCAGCCCAGCCCACAGATGACAATCAAAGGACGGCACGAGCCTCGTCCAGACACGCCTCGTCCGGATGCCCCACGCACCTGCTCCGCCTGGACCCTCGGACGCGTGTGCACGGATCTGCAGCAGCTGCACAGAGTGACCAGCGTTCCGCGGCCACAGGTGCCTTCGGAGCCGGCGGCCCTGCCCCCGGGAGCTGATTGGGCGGGACGAGATATTTGCATAGAGGGCGGGCACTTGGGCGTGGCCCCGCCTCGGAATTTCAGGGGGCGGGGTCTCAGGCTAGGAGAGACTCTGAAGATGCTTATAATGCGGGAGAGGGACGGGAAGGGGTTGGATCAGACCCGCCAGACTTTCCCGCCCGCTCGCACTGCCCTCCCCACAACTGTGATTCTGACCCTAATTTGGACCGTCTCTGACAACTGCCAGCCTCAATACAGGACCTCCTCCATCCTGGGTGAAATATAACTGTCCCTGACGGCCCCAGAGACTGAGCCCTTCTCAAAGCCAACACTGACCCTTGATCTCACCCAGATGGAGGGACTGCAGAGTCACCTGTGTGACCCGCCCATCTACAGGAGAGTGACAGACCCCCTAGGCTGCTGGGTGCCTTCCTCCACTTCAAAGGTCAGCTGAAGGGGGCCTCCAAGCCTGGGCACCAGCTCAGACCTCTAAATCCACATCTTCCCTGGGACCCTAGCTCTGCCCAGCACAGGGCCAGGCCCAGAGGGGTGAGTGAATCAATGTGAAAGAATTACAGGATGAGGAAAACGTTGGACCGGGTAAACCTGAAGAAGCCCCCAGTCTGGAGGAGGCAGAGCAGCCACCACACACCCCTCCAGCCCCGTGGGGGTTAGGATGTCAGGAAGCCTTCCCAGAAGAGGGGACATTTACTGGGCCTTGAAGCTGGAGTAGTAGTTTGCCACTGGGAGAAGAGTTTTCCAAGAGGGAACAGCCCTTGTCAATGTGCAGAGGAAGAGTACAGTGGTTTTTGGTAGGTGAGATAAGGAAGATGAAGCCAGAGCAAGAGTAGATGGGATTGGGAGCGCAAGGAGAGGCTGAGAGAGGGAGAGGAGGTGGTCAATTTAGGGCAAATGAAGTGGGGTGCAGGTGGGTAACATGGCTGCCTGGTGGCCACCTTCTCAGAAGACCACAGGAGATGGCTGCACCCCTGGACTCAGGGGTGAGCATGTGGAGATATTATGTGGAGGACACGAAGGCAGGGAACAGCTTGTGCTTCTTCCCATGCCTCAGTTTACCCATCTGTGACATGAGAATTTTGGACCCCTAGCCTGGGCACATATTCCTCTTTGGACATAAAATCTAGGGCTCACACTGTGTCATGAGGTAGGAGTCGAGGGTCCTGCTCCCTACCCCTGCCACCGCTGCCCCTCAGTGTCCAATGCCAGACACTCAGGTGTTCCAAGGACACACCAGGGCCCAGGCCAGTCTGGGGGCTTCTGCCTCAACTCCAAGGTGCAGAACAAGGCTTGGGGAGCGTGGAGGTGGCTGGGGAGCCCCAGGCCCCCCGAGGGCCACTCTGTTTACCTGCTGCGGCCTGCCATCTCTGATGCAACAGGCAGGCTCTGGTTACATAAGGGCAGCAGCTGGAGCAGCTCTGGGAGCAGCTGGGGCATGGCAGGAAGGGCGGCCTGAGCTGAGGTGGCTGGGGCTGCCCCTGCACCCCCACCTACCTCCTGCCCTCTCCCGCCATTGAGGCTCCCTCCTGTGTTCCTGGCCCCATTTCATCTTCTATCACTCACACCCTATTTTCTATAACGGCCCTTCCTTTTTTCCCGTGCCCGTTCCTATCCTATACTCTCCCACCACTGGCTGTGTCACTTTGTGGGCCCCCGTCCCCCATTGGTTATATATATTGGAGAGATATATATATTGGTTTCAGAGAGGAAGGGAGAGGGAGAGAGAAAGATAGAAACATCAATGATGAGAGAGAATCATTGACCGGCTGCCTCCTGCACAGCCCCTATTAGGGATCGAGCCCGTAAACTGGGCAAGTGCCCTTGACCAGAATCGAACCTGGGACCCTTCAGTCCACAGGCCGGTACTCTATCCACTGAGCCAAACCAGCCAGGGTGGGACAGTCAAAATTTTTTATCTCAGTCTTTTCAGATGAGGGGACACCTTAGTTGCTAGAGTAAGATGCTGGACTGTAGAGGGGTGGGTTGGGGGTGGAAGGGGGTGGAAAGGGCCAGAGATGAGGGATCTGAGAAGGGGGCCTGAAGATGGGGAGACGGGTGGGGGGGTGGTGAGGTGGAAAAGCCTCTTCCCCCAAGTCCCTTTTTCCAGATCCTCTCCCACATGTCAGCAGGGGAAGGCTGTGAAGGACTCTCCATGGCAAGGACAGTGTGGCCCGGCAGACAGAACCTCAGGTTAAAGAACCCTGGTCCCCATCCCAGCTCCAATGTCCTCTCACTGTGACTTCAAGTCAGTCACTTCACCCTTTTGAGCTTGTTTGTTCATATGAAAAGTGGGGACAATAGCAGCCCCTCCTTCTTGGGGAGAACCGTTTAAGGCTTACCTTCCCACTCCTCCAAAAGCTTTCTATATCCCCCCTCCCATTTGGGATTCTTCCACACCCATTCCTCCTTCCAGTCCAGTGCTGACTCAGCGGTTTTGGGATGTATGTCTAGCTCTGTCTCACCAGCCTAGGGGTTCCTCGGGGCCAGGCCCAGTATGTAACAGCACCAAAGGGTGTCCCCATGGGTTTCTTACACCACTGGAGAGCCCGGGAGAGGGTATGAGTGGAGGAGGGGCATGGGGACCAAGTTTGGGACATCCAGAGGCCTCACTGAGGGATATGACAAGGCTAGGAAGGGACTTCCCGGGGGCAGGACCTCAGAGCAGGGCTGAAATAAAACCATGATTTGGACCAGGCGAGAAGGACTAAAAGCCAAACTCAAGTCTGATTCCCGCCTTGACCACTGCAGACCAACCGGGGGCATTGCTGCCTTCCTGGGCCTTTTATCCACCTGCAGATCTGAAGGAGCCTCGGGTGGGGCGGGAGTGCGCTGGGATCCCTTCCATCACCCCCATGGGTGCTGGACTCCTGCCCCAAGGCACGGGGAGCTCACTGCCTCTCCCCTGACTGTCCACCAGCTGGGGCTCTGCTAGAAGCAAGTCCTACTGAGCAGGAAGGCCACACCAGGAGGAGGGGAGATCGGGAGCGCGTGGGGCAGATGCGGGATCCTGCTGAGTAGTCCAGCCTCAAGGAGCCTCACTCGCTCTCTGAAAAACGGAATCAAGGACGTACGGGGTAAAAAGGGGTAAGGGTCACAATGCCCCCACTGCGATCAGCCAGGAATGAGGACAATGACCTTTTAGAGGCCCAGTGCCCAGCCAAACCTTTGCCTCTTGCGCCCCCTGGCGGCCAGCTGTTAAGGGGCGTTTGTGGGTGTGAAGGGCGAAGTGGCTATGTAAATAAGATGCAAATTACCAGCACCCACTCCTTCCTGTGGGCCTTTGGACTCCGTGTGAGGGATCTGACAGTCCAGAATCGTCTCTGGCTGAGGTTGTGTCCTGGGGCTGTGGGTGGCGGGGAACCCTGGAAAGGTCTGGGGCACCCCACAGCTGTTTCCTACTACCTCACAGCACCCTTGGGTTATGTGTAGTTACCTCATTTAGCGGCCTTTCTTGCTGGCCTGTCTTGCTCACCATGGCATCCCCTGGGCCGGCAGGGCCTGACGCACAGAGGACAGTCAATATTTGCTGGACAAATGATTGCATGGCGGACAGGTAGGAGGGACAGACAATTACAGGTACTTTCAGAGCAGGCAAGAAGAGTGATGCTGTGGGGACCACACACTAGTCAGGGCCTCAATGGGTTGGACCTGAGGTCCCTCCTTCCCCTCAAACTGAGCTGGGGTGGTGGGGAGGCAGAATAGCAGCATGGAGGCCCCCTAATACACTCTAGGGCCTGACTCCCATTTCCTGGCAGTGGGAGGTGGTACTTCCTTGACACCTCCTGTGTCCTTAAACCCTCCCAGGCCCTCAGGCTCCTCCACAGCCCTGACACCACACTGGGACCCTGTTTCTCCCCTAGGTTGCCCCTGGCCCTTGCCACCCTTCTCTCCCAACCACCCACAGTGCCAAGGGGAATGTGGAGGGTCCTCCCAGAGCAGCGGGCCTGATGTATCTCCCTGATACATTTTGCTGGACACAGTGTTGACACAGCTGGCCTCGGAGGTGGACAGACTATGGGTCATGACCTCCTAAGCCTAGAATTGGAAGAGATCAGTATAGGCTCTTCTGCAGTCAGCAGAAAGACTCAAAGCAATTTTGGCAAATACAGTAATTGAGGGTACAGCTGGACACGGTCAGGTACAGCTGGATTCAGGGTCCCAGGGTGACTTCTCCATCTGGCCTACGCCGGGTGGGTGTTTCTGCTTGAGGCAGAATCCGGCCAGGCAAGCAAGTACACGAATGTCCACCTCAGCTGTAGAAAAGGTCCAGTCCGGCCTTCCTTGTCCAGATGGAGAAAGGGAGGACGAGAGAGGGTCATTCTAGGCCCCGTGTCACACAGCATGTCAGAGGCAAGGCTGGGACGAAACCAGGCAGGGGTCTGGTCTCCTGTAGCTGTGTGGCCTTGCCCAAGTCACACCACCTGCATTTATTTTCCCATCTGTATCTGAGGGTGACACCTACCTATGGGGCTGAGGATGAGATGACCATTGCAGAGCCCCCAGCACAGTGTAGTCAATGGGGATTAACACGGTGGCAGTTATTGGTCCAAGGAAACATGGCTGATGCGGGGTAGGAATCCCCGGGCAGCAAAGCCTTGTCTCGGGACATTACAGCTGGCCAGGGGGTTACAGGCAGGAGCGAGAAAACTGCCACCTCTGCCACCTGATGAGTCACTTCCAAGAAGGAAAAGCAGAGACCAGAGAGGGGGAGTGACTTGCTCAGGGTCACACAGCAGGTCAGTGGTGGAGCGAGGAGTCCAGAGTTGGGTGGTAATCGCCATGCCGGGCTCTGTCTGAGAGAAGGTACATAAGTAAAGCAAGCAGCTGGCATGCGGCAGGCAGGGAAATATGGATCCACTCTGTTTAGGAGGAGTCCTTGGGATCAGGATAGGGCCTATGACCTGAATAAGGGCAAGAAGATGGCAGAGGGAGCGTGAGGGAGACGGGCTGACAATGACCCTGAGCAGCAGAGGCCCTAGGTCTCCCTCACCCCGCACCCCCCCACTGACCAAACCACCCTACAAGCCCAAGTGGTTAGATGGTAAATCCCTTCTTGGACAACAAAAGGGTGGGTTAGTTCAGAGCATGGAACGCAGGAAGGCCCCTGGCCCCACTCAGCACTGACCTGGTTGGAGGGGCCAAAGCACCTCCAAGTCTCTTCTGGGATCAGGCCGAGGAGGGTGAGGGCAACTCCTCGGGGCTGGAATAAAACATGTGCAGTGTTCGTGAGACCAGAGTCAGAGGCCTGCTCAGCTAGGTTGGACTGTGCATAGGGTCACCCTCCCAAGACCCCTGGCCTGAGCCTTCAGGGCATCCTTGGTAAAAATGGGACCAGCCACCTACTTCAGAGGTCATGGCTGGGACTCATGCATGTCTGGGAACTTCAAACCCACAGGCCTTGCAAAGAGAGATGTTAGCAGCAGCGTGGAGCTTTCTGAAAAGCATTTTGCATTTTCACCACAGCAGGGACAAGCAGGGCATTTGAAAGCGCTTGGAAAACCACTAGTTCAAAGTAAAAGCTATAGCTTTTTGAGGCCCTACTGAGTGCAGGGCGCTGTGCAAGGCACTTTACAGTCAACTCTAGTGATGACTGTCACCAATAGCAGCAGAACAGCAAACCCAGGTAAACCCTAGCATGCTACCTCAGAAGGATTGCTGCACATCCGTTTTACACATTCACCAGGCTTTTGTTTGAATGATTCTCACGTTTTAGTTATCCGACACAGCAACACAGAGGTTTTCTTTTTTTCTAAATATCTCGTGTGGGACAGGCAGGCCAGAACCCCAAACTACGGGAGCTAGACACATCTCAAAGTAGAGTTATGGCTTACAGCATGTGTGTATGTGTGTGTTCAAATGCATATTTATTAAGTTATTAAAAACAAAAAGAACTCCTTCCCCAAAAACTCTCTCCTCAGTGTGCAAGGACTGTAGTGCTTTTCATGTTTATGCCATTTGTCTTCAGCTCAAAGCTTCCTCCAGCTCTGGGCAGCCTCCCTGCTGGCTGCCTACCTCCCTGACCCCATCTCCCCCTCGCTCACCTGCTCCAGCCACACCCGTCCTCTAGATGCTCCTCCAACACACCTAGTGCCCCAGCCCCAGGGCCTTTGTCCTCACCACTGCCCTGCCTGCAACATCATCCCGTCATTTCTGTCAGCAAATCTTTCAGGCCTCCGCTCCCACTTCCTCCGACTCATCAGAGACGCCCCATATTCCCTTTTTTCCTTTGGACACTTCTGAAGTGCTCTGGTCTGTTCCGTGTGTACCTGGTTGCTGTGTGTCTCCCTGTGAAACCATAGCAGACCTGTCCTGGTCACCTCTCTGTCCCCAGGACCAGGCACACAGCAGAGCTCAGGATCTGGGTACTGAGTGACTGCACTCTCCTGCCACAGACACCAAAGGACAAGAGGAAGGCAGCAGGCATTGAGAGATGAGGAGAGGAAGCTGTCCAAGGAGCGATAGCAGCAGTTCCAGGCTGAGTGGCGAAGGTCCTTCCGGCAAGGAGGCGGAGACAGCAGGGGTGGGTGGTCCTGGGAGCTACCTGTGGCCCTGGGTGGCATTCATGTGGTCCCGGATGCTGATGGCCTGTTTGAGGAGACCCTCCACACTGCGGAAGTAGACGCTGCTGTCGACAAGGTTCTTCACGGCACTATAGAGGGAAGACAGACCCAGTAGGCACCACCCTGCCGCACCCACCAACTGGAGCTCAGCAGGTCCCTGGCGGACTCTGTGGGCCTCCACGGGGGCTCGTCAGGAGCTCAAAGTTTAGATTTCCCTGCCAAGACGCGAGGGGCCTTGCGAATGCCAGAAAGTCACCTGTGCAACATCTGCATAGAAAGAAAAGTGTCCTATTGTGTGGTTTTATTTTGTTTGTTGTTAAATAAACAAAAAAATAAATATTCTCACCTGAGAATATTTTTTCCATTGATATTTAGAGAGAGTGGAAGGGAGGGAAGGAGGGGGGAAGAAGAGAGAGAGAGAGAGAGAGAGAGAGAGAGAGAGAGAGAGAGAGAAACATGGATGTGAGAGAGACACATTGATCAGTTGCCTCCCATACACATGGAGACCAGGGCTGGGGATTGAACCCGCAACCCAGATAGGTGTCCTTGTCCAGGAATTGAACCCCTAACCCTTCATTTCAAGGGCTAATGCTCCAACTGCTGAGCCACACTGACCAGAACTAAAAGTGTGGTTTCCTTTTGTTAAAGAAAAAAAAAATCCCTTCTATTTATTATCAGAGACCTGCTTGAAAATGGCCACGAGATGAAGGGGAGGAGCGTTCACTGTTTCTCACTCTGTTAACTTGTTCATCTTATGCCACCAAGTGTAGTCAGCTTTTCTAGTATTTGACTGCCCAACTTGATTTAAAAACTCACTAATAAAACATGAAAATAAAGAAATAAAAAAAGAAAAAAACTTCACTAACATAAGCTCACTATTAAATAGTTTACCCCAATTTAACATCTTTCAATTTTATACCAAACATTAACACTGCATAAAGCATTTCAAATAACTAAAAGCCAAGGGCTCACCCTGGCCAATGTGGCTCAGCTGGTTGAGCGTCGTCCCATGCACTGAAAGGTTGCTGGTTCGATTCCCAGTCAGAGCACATGACCAGGTTGCAGGTTCAATCCCTGGTCTGGGCGCATACGGGAGGCAACCGATCAATGTTTATCTCTCTGTCTCTCTCCCTCTCCCTTCCCCTCTCTCTCTAAAATCAATAAAAACATATTTAAAAATAAATAAATAAATAAAAGCCAAGGGCTCTTTCATGTCCATAACGCCATGGACCCCCATCCTCAGGAAGATGCCCTTAGTCCCGGTCACCCCCTGTCCCAGTGGAGGGACTAGGACTGCTGATGGCTGAACACTCAGCTCAGTGGCCCCAGCAGCAGGACTTCCTTTCAAGGAACGTTCACCCACACAGCAGAAGCAGGCAAGCAAACCCCACAGTGCCACGATGAGAAATGGTGGGAGTGTCCAGCCTCCACCAAATGACCCACAGGCCATGCCAGGTGCAAACAGCATCTCTAAATAAAGTGGCCAAACTCCTGAGGCAAATGGAACAAGCCAGGGCATTAAATACAGTCCCAGAAACCAACAGAAGTGCAGGAGAAAAGGCCAGCAGAGCTGCCATAACGCAAAAAAAACCAACTACCGTTTTTTCACCTTCAGGCATCTTTCCCCTGGGGCAGAGGAGACCATCTGAAGATTTAGAGAAAATTTAAACAACAAAAAAACAAAAACAGTCCTAGCTGGTTTGGCTCAGTAGATAGAGCATTGGACTGCGGACTGAAGGGTCCCAGGTTCGATTCTGTCAAGAGCACATGTCTGGGTTGAGGGCTCAATCCCTAGTTGGGGGCATGCAAGAGGCTGCCAGTCAATGATTCTCTCTCATCATTGATGTTTCTATCTCTCTCTCCCTCTCCCTTCCCCTCTGAAATCAATAAAAATATATTTTAAAAAAAACAACAAAAAACCCCACAAATGGTACAGCCACATTCACAGCAGTATTATTCACAATAGCTAAAACATGGAAGCAGCCCAGCCCTGGCCAGTATACTCAATTGGTTGGAGCATCATCCCGTTACCTGAAGGGTCATGGGTTTGATTCTTGATGGGGGCACATGCCCAGGTTGCAGGGTTCAGTCCCCAGTTGAGAGGCAACCAATCGATGTGCTTTTCTCTCAAATTGGTGTTTCTCTCTCTCCCTTCCTCTCTTTAAAATCAATAAATATATCCTCAGGTAACGATTTAAAAAAAGAAAATTAAATAGAAAACAGCCCTGGCCATTTTGCTCAGCGGTTAGAGCGTCGGCCTGTGGACCCAAGGGGCAATGGGGGGGGGGGGGGGGGGGGGGGGATAAGGACATATAGGTAATACCTTAATCAATAAAGAAAAAAAGTAAAAAGGCAACAGAAAACAACAACAACAAACAAACAACGAACCATGGAAGCAACCCAAATGCCCACTGACAAATGAATGGATAAACAAAATGTGGAATTTTACTCAGCCTTAAAGAGGAAGAAAATTCCAACACATACTATAACATGGACAAGCCTTGAGGACATTACTCTAAATCAAGGATGTCAAATTCACCGCTGGCAGCCCACCGGCCATGAGTTTGACATGTTTGCTCTAAATCAGTGGTTCTCAACCTTCTGGCCCTTTAAATACAGTTCCTCATGTTGTGACCCAAACATAAAATTATTTTCGTTGCTACTTCATAACTGTAATTTTGCTACTGTTATGAATCGTAATGTAAATATCTGATATGCAGGATGGTCTTAGGTGACCCCTGTGAAAGGGTCGTTCGACCGCCAAAGGGGTCTCGACCCACAGGTTGAGAACCGCTGCTCTAAATGAAGGAAGACAGACACAAAAAGACAAATACTGTACGACTCTATTCATGTGAGGTCCCTAGAGTAGTCAAATTATAGAAACAGAAAATAGAATGGTGGGTGCCAGGGGCTGGGGGAGGAGGATGGGAGTTAGTGTTTAATGGAAACAGGTTTCAGTTGTGCAAGATGAAAAGTTCTGGAGATGGATGGTGATGGTTGTATAACAATGTGAACGTACTGAATGCCACTGAACTACTTAGAAGTGGTTGAGATGACAAATCTTATGTTTCCCCAACCTTGTTACACCCTCCTATGATAGATGGGGAGGGGATCGGAGCTGGGAAGAAGCCTGCTCGAGGCACACAGAGGTTGAGCAAACAGTGAGAAGCACAGGCCTCGGCTAGAACCTGCTGTGTGGCCAGGGAAACTGAGACCCACATGCTTCCTCCCTCAGGTGGGCTTGGCAAGACAGGGTTCACCAGGGAGCTGGCTGAGATGCTCCTGAATGCCCAGGCGGTGACCCCAATGCATAGCCAGGTGATCCTGGCAATGGGGAGGCTGAGGTGCTCACCTACAGGCGTACTCCACTGTGTAGATGGCTCCCTGGCTCTGCTCCTCCCACCGTTGCATGTCGGCCTGTGGGGGTTGGGGGGTGGGGGTGGGGTTGTTAGGCAGGGGGAGGCTGCCACCTCTGTCATCCCAGCTCTCTGCGATGGAGCACCCGGTCACAATGGCTGCAGAGACTGGCCCCCTCCAGCCCCCAACTTTTCTTCCTCCAACTCTCTTCCCTCACGAGTCCAGGCTTTCTGTGGACACCTCGCTGCTATGTTTTGGGACCTTTGCATCAACTGTCCCCTCTCCCTGGCATGCTCTTCCCTCTAGTCTTCACACAGCTGCCTCCTTCTCACCATACAGGTCACAATTCATCTAGGCCTGCTGCTCCTTCTTCCAAATCTGCCCCACATCTGTCCACCCACAGCCCCAGCCTGGCTCAGTGACCACATGCCTCCTTGCTGTGTTCCAGCCTTGACTCATCCCAAGAGCCCCTGCTCTACCAGCAGGCCCCAGTTCACAATGTGCAGGCCCTGCAGGGGTTGGTGCAGGGGTGCATGGGGCTCACCTTGTGCTGGGCCAGTTCTGGCAGAGAGCGGCGCACATGCTCCTGGAGCCGGTAGAGGGCCACAGACGGCTCATTGGCCAGGACGTAGACGCTCTCGGTGAACTTGTCTGTGACTGGTTCCAGAATTGACCGTGGAAGGTGGCAAAATAAGGGAAAAGGGTGCACAGACACAAAGAAACAAAGCGTAAGACTCCTGATTGCTCAACCTCTGAGTCCAGCCAGAGCAGTGAGGAGTCTCTGGTGTCCCCTCCAGCAGCTGGGTCACCTGTGGCCCAGGTGAGAGGTTGGAGGACATGGTCACAGATGGCCTCATCCATATTATCAATGCATCCAGTGAACTCATGATCTTTCCCCTCCCAACTCTACTTGTAGTGGACACTGCTGCTGCCCTCTCGGAGTTCCTCGAATTCCTTTTACCCCAGTGAATAAATCTGAGATTCCTCCTAGAAGGATCCACTGGTTACTGGATCTGAAAGTGCCTGAAAGTTTATTTATATCCCTGGGTGGCCCTCAGCCATGACAGACCATGGAGGAGTATGAAAAGTCTGTGCCCCTTGCTGTGTGTTGGGACAATTGGGAGGTGTGACTCACTCCCCTAAAACCTCCTTGCCAAATCAGGCTGAGACCAACTGAGGGATTTTAGCTGAGGTTGCTCTTTGCTCAGCCTCCTCCCCAGCCCTGTTCTGTTCCCCACCTATTCTGTGGGGCTCTCCTGGTAAGTTAATTACACACAAATCCTCATCCCAGGGTCTGCATTCCCAGTCAGCTGGTCATCCACGCCATCCATGAGGAGATCGTCTGGTTCTGACACAAAACAAAGCCCAACCTCACCCATGCTTAGCGCTGCACTGACCCCACTGGTCCAGGTATGGCCGCTTCCCACCTGGATGCCAGACTCAGCCTCTCCTGCCAACAGTCCCATATGCACACAACAGATGGAGTGAACTCCTTGTGAACACATCAAATAAGACCCTCCCTTGCTTGGAAGCCTCCACGGCTCCCATCAGCCAGAGAATAAAATCTGCTTTTCTCACCATGGCCCCTAAGTTTCTGCCTTGGCAGGAGGGGCTGAGTCTGCCCAAAAGAACTTTCTGAGATGATTGAAAGGTTTTATAATCTATACTGTCCAATAAGGTAGCCACTCCTGGGCGCCTGAAATGTGACTAATGTGACTCAGAAACTGATTTTTTAACTTTAATTAATTTAAATACCCATAAATACTGTGACCAGTAGCTACTGTATTACAGCAAAGCTCTGAACACTTTGCCACCTCAGGGCCTCTGCCTGTGTTGTTCCTGCCACTGACACTACCCCTCCCCCCACCTCCACCCTCACCCCCAGCTTCATCCCTCATGTCTCAGCTGAAATGTCACCTCCTGGGCAAAGCCTTCCCTAATCACCAAGAATAAACACATGTGCCTCATGCCCAACCTCAGCACCCTATTCATTTCTCTTATACTTAAATTCTCGTTTTTTACTAAGTTACGTATTTATAAAAAAAATATTAAAGCTTGGATTTGTGAGGATGGGAGCTTCTCTGAGCCTCAGTTCCTCATTTGTAAAAATGCAATGATAACAGTACCCATTCTCAAGGTTTGCTACAGAGATGATCCTATGCTACTGCCCAGGGCAGTGTGGTTGGCAAGAGAGAGAACGCTGGCCTGTCTGGGAATCAAAGGACGTCGTGCATTAGTCTGTCCAGTGTGAATCAGTCCAGCTCACCAGTCCAGCCTGCCACCTCCAAACTGTATCGTTATAGAAACTGTTACCCTCTTAGGCCTCCTCCTTTAGAAAACGAGCATGTAATAGCTTACAGCTGTGTTCTTACAAAAGCAGTGGAATTAAATGTACTTGTGCCTTCTAACTAATTAGAATAACGTGTGCCTGGCCAGTGTAGCTCAGTGGTTGAGCCTTGACCTATGAATCAGGAGGTCATGGTTCAATTCCTGGTGAGGGCACATGCCCAGGTTTTGGGCTTGATCCCCAGGGTAGGAGGTATGCTGGAAGCAGTGGATCAATGATTCTCTTATCAGTGATGTTTCTTTCTTTTTTTAAATTTTTTAAATTGATTTCAGAGAGGAAGGGAGAGGAAAAGCGAGATAGAAACATCAATGATGAGAGAGAATCATTGATCAGTTACCTCATGCACGCCCCACACTGAAGATGGGCCCGAAATCCTGGCATGTGCCCTGACCGGAATCGAATCCTGACTTCCTGATCGACGCTCAACCACTGAGCCACGCCGGCTGGGCATCAGTGACGTTTCTCTCTCTCTCATCTCTCCCTTCCTCTCCAAAATCAATACAAAAAAATTTTTTTAAAGACATAACGTGTGTGATAAAATAACAGGAGACTTCATAATTTAGAACGCTTATGGCATTTTGTAATTTGTAACTATGGGATTATAAATATATGGTAAGTCAATGTAAACACACAAATACGTAACTATAAGGCAGTGGTTCTCAACCTTGGCTGCACATTAGAATCACCTGGGAATCTTTTTAAAATCCTGATTTCTGGGCCTCATCCTCCGGAAATTCTGTTTCTTTGTTATGGGGTGGGGCCACTCACCCCATAACAAAAAAACAGAATTTCCGGAGGATGAGGCCCAGAAATCAGGATTTTAAAAAGATTCCCAGGTGATTCTAATGTGCAGCCAAGGTTGAGAACCACTGCTATAAGGCAACAATACGCACGGCTGCCACGCCTCGAGCTTTCTTCCAGGGCATTACCAACATCAGTTCATCGCGTTCTCACAAGCCTATGAAGGGACTATACTCCCCATTTTACAGATGACAAAACCGAGGCACGGGGACTAAAGCTTTCAAAACTAGTCAGAGGCCGAACCAGGATTCAATGGCAGTTCAATCTCTGTCCCTCACGCTCCCTCCCCGTCTTTGCCACGCCCCCCCCCCTCTGTCAAGATGCCCCTCCGCGAGTTCCTGGGCTCTTCGTACAGCCCGGCGCCTCGCATTACCTTTCTTCCCCTTGAGCTGCATCTCCGGTTCCTCCATAGCGACGGAGGCCCGTTAAGCTTGAAAACCGGAACCGGAAGCTGGAGATGGTGACAGCTCCCTAAACCTTCCCCTGCGAAACCGCACTAGGCCCTGCCACTATTCCAGTACCCATTGCCTGCCCTCTCCGTTCCTCCATCTCTACCGAACCCGGAGAGGGGCCGTGAGTGAGAGACCGGGGAAGGGGCCACACCGGGAGGCAGGTGAGGAGGGGCTAGGACCCCATGCAGCTCCCGGAGGGACACCGTGGAAGGGAAGAACCCCTTTTCCAGGGGCGGATGAATTGGGGAGCGCTCTACACACCGCTCACTGCGGACCGTAGTAACGGCCTCTTTGCACCTCACTGCCATCAAATCCCTGCACATGCTCATGAGCCCCCACGACCCAGAGGGAGCACTGTTGTGGACGGGGACGACCATGGAGTCGCCCCTTTAAATCCTGGACGCCCCGCCTGCTCCCGCCCCCTTGCCCTCGAGGGAGAAAGCCCCGCCTTCCCGCCCCAAACTGGAGCCGATTGGCTTCTAACAGGCGCAATGAGATCCACCGAGCCCTCTGAGGCCCCGCCCACTTCTCTGACCCCGCGGGACTAGAAGGCACAGGAGCAATTGCACTGCTCGGACTCCAGCGGAAACCACGCCCCCTCCGATCCTTAAAGGGCCAGAAGCAGCTCCTACTGCTCCTGCCCTTCCGCACTTTTGGGGGGCAGGGTGCGCAGGCGCAGTGGGGGACCTCGGGTGGGGGTAGTGGTCGAGTATCAAGTTGCTCTCTGTCCCGGCAGAAGAAGCCAGAGCGCTGACCATCCAGGCTCCAGCTTGCTCCCCGCTACATCAATTGGAGGGGAAAAGTTTGTGAATTGGGCCTCCAAGTTTTGGGGGATCCGGGCTTGCGGCGAGGGGTGACAGAAAAGGTTCGTGGAAGGTGAGTGAACCTCCTGGATCGGCTTGGAGGGACGGGTGGGATGGAACCAATTAACATCTTTGTTGATCCCTCCGTCATTCCGGGGACCACCCTCCAAAAAAATAACCACAGCGAACATTTATGAAGCTCTGCCGGTTTCAGGCTCCCTGCTTAGCTATGTACAGATATGACTTCTTTTAGACCTCGTTTCCCCGTGTTATTAATGAAGATACAAGTTCAGAGTAGGTAAGGCATGTGCCCAAGTTCTCACAGCCTGTAAGTGGAAGGATTCCAACCCAGATAGTTGACCTCAGAGCCAGGACTTTTAAGCAGTGACTGTTGGATGTGTCCTGGTGGTGGTGGAGAGTGGGCCTGAAAAGGAATTGGACTGTGATTTAATTTCCCTGATGAGCCTGAGTTTATCCACCCTCACTGTGCAAGGCCAGTTATGCAGCTGGCACCTAACTTCATAAGAATTGTTCATAAGTCTTGTCATCTCCCCCCTTTAGGGGCCCCCATTAGCCCCCCCCCCCCCCATGGAGCTCACCCAGCCTTCAGAGGACCTCAGCCTGACCCAGCAGCCTCCCACCCCAGAATTTGGGGAACCTGAAGACCCCAGGGATGAGGCCCAGGACGGCTCAGACACAGTGGTGCTCAGTCTCTTCCCCTGCACCCCAGAGCCTGGGAATCCTGAACCAGATGCTGGCGCCTCTTCGCCTCAGGGTAGGTACTGACTGCCTCGGGGATGCAAGGACTGTGGAATGTCAGGCCCTAAATGGGGCCTCTGTTTTATGTCCCACCGCCTAGGGCACACATGTCTTCCTGCTCCACCCAGCAAGGGATTGCTTATTTGTTTTTATTATGGTAAAATCCACATAACATGGAAGTTACCATTTTAACCAGAATTGCATATAATTTAGTGGCAGTAAGTACATTCACAGTGATGGATAACCCCAACCTCTATCTGTAATTCTAGAACATTTCCATCACTAGAAGGACCTAGGTCATGACTTCCACACAGCAGCAGGACCCTAGAGCTGCCAGTCTCTCAGGAGACCGGATGGCCTTGCCCCATACCTTATTTCACATCTCTGATGACAGGCAGGGCCCAGGACCCCACTCAGGGTACTCCGAGAGCTGCCTTTTGTGATGAGCAACAATCTCCAAATTCTTCAGGTTTTCAGGAGATGACCCATTGGTGTCTATGGGACATCCCCAGATTGGCTAGTGGGTCCTATAGCTTCCAGCTTCTCAGGGCTCAGCTCCAGTAGCATTAGTGGAGTAGAAGAGAGAGTCATGCAGTGTCTTTGGTAGCTCTAAACCCCCAGGGTCTAGCTTGAAGCCCCAGGACCCTTCCTCTCTCTTCCACCAGGCAACTCCCTAAAGCACTCCACGACCCTCACCAACCGGCAGCGGGGGAATGAGGTCTCGGCCCTGCCAGCCACCCTGGACTGTGAGTGGCCCCTGTCCTTTTGGGGGGGGGGGGGCGGGAAATGGGGTGGCAGGGCTCAGAGGAGCAACTTGGGACAGAAGCTAAACTGAGGCACAGAGCAAGGATGGGACAGGTGAGGACACTGCCTCTCTCTGGCCCCAGCCCTGTCCATCCACCAGCTTGCAGCCCAGGGAGAGCTGAGCCAGCTGAAGGAGCATCTGAGGAAAGGTGTGTGTCTACACCCATGTGCTTGTCTGACCTCGTGTGCTGGTATGTGCATGTGTGCTGTTGTGACCTGTGAGTGTCCATGCGTGCCTGTGTCTATGTTTGTGTACAAGTGTGGCCACTTGTGTGTATCCACATGTGTCCCTCCACCTGACGCCAGCTGCCCACCTGATCCCCGCTCCCGCAGCTTTGGGGAGAGTGGGCAGGGGTGCAGCCCAGTGGTACCACCCCCTCCTGCCAGGCGACAACCTCATCAACAAGCCGGACGAGCGTGGCTTCACCCCCCTCATCTGGGCCTCAGCCTTCGGAGAGATAGAGACCGTCCGATTCTTGCTTGAGTGGGTGCGTCCCTGCCCAGCTGGGGACTTCCTGGGACTTGAGGGCGGCCAAGTCTCAGCTGAACCTGCCAGTGCCATGTCTTTAGATGTGGCTGCCATGGGGACCACCGGATTCCAGGGGATCTCCCACTCCTCCCATCACCATTCTCTCTGCTCCCCCCAGGGTGCCGACCCCCACATCCTGGCCAAGGAGCGGGAGAGCGCCCTGTCACTGGCCAGCACAGGTGGCTACACAGACATCGTGGGGCTGCTGCTCGAGCGTGATGTGGACATCAACATTTACGACTGGGTGAGGCACCACATGCCGGCCCTGGGCTCCTTGCAGGGTACCAGGCCTGCTCTGGATGCTAAGAACACAAGACAGACTCCTCCCCAAGCCTCACAGATCTCCTAGGTTTGGTGGGAAGGGAGGGAGGGAGGAGCCAATATAGAAACACTCAGCTGAGCTGTAGTGAATAATGCTATGATGGCAGTCGCATAGGCAGCTGGCGATCTGCACAGCCAAGGGCAGTCAGGGAGGGCTACCTGGAAGAGGGACATCGAAGCTGAGCCCCAAAGGAGGAGCTAGACCTGTCAGGTGACAAACAAGAGAAGGAACCAAAAAAAAAAAAAAGAAGGAACCACATTAAATTGGAGGGTGCTGGGTGGTGTGAGAATCCAGTAAAGGTAGTGCTGGTTGCCCCTGCCCCTGACAGAATGGAGGGACGCCACTGCTCTATGCCGTGCGAGGGAACCATGTGAAGTGCGTGGAGGCCTTGCTGGGTGAGTGGGAGTAGAGGCTGACCCTGGGAGCCCAAGAGCTCTAGCTGGCACTGCAGGAATCCCGAGGGCCAGGGAGGGGCCAGAGCGCTGCTTGAACAGATCTTGCCTGCTTTTCCCAAAGGACTGATCAGGGGGCAGGAGGTGGTGGGACACCACAGGGGTCTGGCCTCAGGGACCCTGGAGGTGGGAGTTCTGTTGGCCCCATTCTCAGGAGAGCTCAGTCTCTTGTCCAGGGCCACATGGGCAACCAACAGACCTGGGGCTTTGTCTTTGGGGGTCACTGGATCTCCAGAGTCCATGCCCCATTCTGGGCTCCCAGTCCTCCCCTGCAGCACCTGCTCTGCTTTGTAGCCCGAGGAGCTGACCTCACCACTGAAGCTGACTCTGGCTACACCCCAATGGATCTCGCTGTGGCTCTGGGATACCGGAAAGGTCAGCCTGAGACACATGGGGAAGTGCAGGGCGCTGTAGGTGGGGTGACCAGAGAGGGTACAGGGGCATACCTCCTGGATACTGGCAACAAGAGTGTTCACGTTAGCAAACATTGAGTGCCACTGTGTACCTGGCTTGGGCATGTGCTAGGCCTAGTTCTCAGGGGGCTCCCTATGATTTGGAGGTGGAGGTCAATGTGTGTCAGTGACTGAGGTCATGATGGAGGACACTCAGGCACTGAGAGGCCCAAAGGAGGCCCTGGCCCCACCTCAGGATGGATGGGGGCATCACAGTGGGCTTCCTGGGGACCAAGGGGGAAAGAGGATGGTCCAGGCTGGAGGAACATCTCATGCAGAGGCCTGGCAGGGTGAGGACACCCAGAGGGAGGGGGCCGGGTCACAGTGCACAGGGCCATGGAGGCCACTCTCTCTGAGGCAGGAAGTGGGTATAAGTAGAGACCCCAGTTTGACTCCTCACTTCTCCATTTGCTTCCCCACCCATGAACTGGGGTGATCCTAACAGAACCCCTGGGGTCATGGGGGGATTGATGGTTTGGGAAATATCCCCTCCTTTCTCCAAGGAGTCTTCCATTTGGGACAAATCAATCTTCATAGCCCTTCTTGTCCTTTCATACATATAACAATTCACCAATTTTGTTTTGCAAGGAATCTTTTTATAACTCTGAAATGCCTCCAAAAACATTTTTATAAACTTAGGGGAAACGGAGGTTCCTGGGACAGGGGGCTCAGTCTCCCCAGCTGTGTCCTGGGAGGGGTGTGGATTTATCTATGTACGAAATCCAAGTCCCAGTGCACGGAGGCCCCTGTTCGTCCCCAGAGGGAAGGGTGTAGTTCCCAAGGTAGTAACCCCCGGGGAAGGCAGGGTGCAGGTGGGCGTGTTTCTCTGCAGCCCCAGTTCCATTCATGGCCCACGTTTTCCTTGTCCTGTTTCCAGTGCAACAGGTGATCGAGAACCACATCCTCAAGCTCTTCCAGAATAACCTGGTGCCCGATGATCCTGAGTGAAGGCCACCCACCCCACAGGGACTCAGACTCTCAGGGAACAAAGCGGTCGACCCAGAGTTGGGGGAACCCAGAACTGGCTTCAAAGGCAGCTCCTGGACAGATGGTGGGAGGGATCCTTCCCAGCAGAAATCAATAAACCTGTGCAGAACTTGAAGGACTGTGCTGTGCTTCCATGAGGGTTTCCTGGAGGAGGAGGCTGCCCAGTGGCCTCACACCTTCTCCCCCAGCACTCGCAGGTGGTAGATGACCACTCGGCCAAAAAAATCAGTGAGGTCCTCAAATGTTACCTTCAGCTGGTCCACTTCAGCAGCCGGTACAGGAAAGGTGTGAGCATAGCAGTCAAGGGAAACGGCTTATCGTTTAACTGTCTGCAACCCCTACCCAGTCCCGGGTCAGACGTGCTGTAGGTCCCTGAGACTCACACAGAACAGATTACCATCAGCCCATTTCACAGATGAAGTAACGCAGGCCTAGAGGCCGGTTGCTGGAGGTCCCACATGGCCGGCAGCTTTCAGAGGCACAGACCACCCCCACCCCAGAGGCCCGGGTAGGATATCTGAATGGAGTTGTTGTCTTCAGGGTAGAAGTCCACAATCTTATTGAGAGCCTCACTCCTCTGAGAACCTGCAGCAGGGAGAGAGGCAGACTGTGAGGCCGGGGTGTCCCCTCCGACCCCTTCTCCCCCTCTTCCAGGGCTTCCCAGTACCTTCTAGGCAGCCCCGGCGACTGGAGAAACCCCCCTGGAACTGGATCTGCAGCTGGGAGACACGGATGCGCTGGGGAAACTCTAGTACCACCCACTGGGAGGGGCCCTGGAAGCAGACAGGGAAACTGAGGCCCAGTCCATTCAGGCTCAAAGCAGTGCTATTCTCTCTCTCTCTCTATTGGTGGGGGCAGGGTTCAGCACATGTTCCCTCCTGGCCAACCGGACTGAGCCCAACTGTGGTCCCTGGAGTTCTCAAGGCACCCTGGACCCCTGAATCTGGTTCACACAAGGGGTGACAGGAGCTCACCTGGTCCGAGTTCCAGCACGTCTCCTCGTCCTGGTCGAACAGGTGCTTCTTTCCAAACTGCCGGGTGTTGCGATTCAGAACCGAACTCACCCTGGAGGCATCAGAATCAGGGCGAGGAGAGGGGCTGGACCAAGCCCTGAGGGCCCGGCCCCCACCGTCCGCCCCTCCTCGCCACCGGCTTCACAAACCCCGTGCTCTATCCAAAGAGAGTTGCACCCCAAGCTGAGGAAGGGACCACTACCCGCCCCCCCCCCCCCCCCCCCCCCCCCCCCCCCCCCCACCCCCCCCCTCAGGCCTCACCTGCTCACGGTGTCTGCACAAACCAACGAGTGGGTCATTTTAGCTCCACAAGACCTCAGGGTTCAGAGTTGGGCTCGGCACGGGTTCGAATCCCGCGCCAGCGCAGCCACAACAGCGAGACAGTCCACGCCTCCGAGCTGGAACGTTCTCGCCTGCAGCACTGGACCGGAACCGGCACCACCCACCCTTCCCAGCCCTAAATGTCGCCTCGATCACCCCCTTGCCGAAAAAATTGGGGATTTTGCCAATGACTCGAGACCAGGGGTTTGTCCTGTGGGTTTGGGGGGCGGTCGCTCCGGCTTCGAGGCTCTGTTTCTTTGGGGAAAAAAAAGAACCAAAATCTGGACCCCGGAACCGCGCGGAGGCGGCGCAGAAGCAATGAGGCTTCGGCCCCGGCTCCGTCGTTCCCGGGGCGGGGTTTGACTTGAGCCCCGCCCCTGAGTGCCCGCCTCTTAAAGGGCTCGCGCCCAGTGATTGGGTTAAGGCGGGCACATAAAAACAACTGTATGTGGGACACTGTCCTTTGGTGCCCGCAGGTATAGAGCACTGGTTTTGGAAATCGAGATACTTCTTATAATGATGTGATTCTATCTGGGGAAGTCTGCCAAATCCATCTCCTAACTGCTAATGCAACCTGGAAACCCATGTACCTGACTGCCTCCCAGAAGCAAAGGAAGAGGTCATGATATTGCAGGTACAAGAAGTCTTCATCAGCCTCATGTGTCCTGGCTGAAACACAGGAGGCCGGGCCTTCAAGTCTGTCTTCCCAGTAAATGCTGCCTGGGACAGGCTTTTAGTAGGAGGGGGCATGTGAAGTGGGTTTTGAAGGATGAACAGGAGTTTGCCAAACCAAATTACACAAAGCCTCAGATACCAGGCTAAAGATCTGGTTCACTGATTCACTAAACAACTGCCACTCCCTACTGCCCACCCCTGTGTTGGATGATGCTAGGGACTGTAAGAGGCCTCAGTTCCATCCCTGCACTTGATGAGCCCCCAATCTGGGTAATACAGAGCTACACACACACACACACACACACACACACACACCCATAGGGCCAGGGCTGAGCCAGGGAGAGAGATAGTGCTGGGATAGCAGGGGTAGGAGAGCTTCCTGGGAGAGAGGGTATTGGGTGGGTAGGAATTCACCAGGGTGAGAAAAATCTGGGGGCTTGCGGTGGGGAGGTGTAGGGTCCAGGCAGGAAGAACAGTATAACCAAAGACCATGAATTTGAATAAAATATGTGGAGCCAGATCCTGCTGAGCTCAGAGCAGTCACAGAAGGTGTTTGAGAAAGGGCAGGACACCATCTGATCGGCATGAATGGAGGGTTCTGAGACAGACCAGCCATTGCCAGGAGGCTGTGGTTCCTGGCTTCCACTGAATAGTCTGGGGCCCAGCCCCTTTCTTCAAGGGCTGGGGGAATGGTCCTCCTGGCATCCTACTGGTGTCTGCCCACGCCTGCCCCAGGAGGGGGTGCTGGCTGGGAAACTGGGACACTAGTGGAAGGGCTGCCCCATCAGCCCTGCCTGCCAGGATCTCCTCCATTCAGTCATGATCTGGTGCCATCCAGACTTGGGTCTGCTGGTCTCAGGATCGGAGTTGGACGTGGCAAAAAAACACCTCCCCCAGAGGAAGTTAGGCAGAGCATGGACCTTGTAGGGTCCAGTTCAAATCCTGGCTGGGCCCCTCATAACTGGCTGTGTGATTGTGGACAAGCATGTGGACCTCTGAGCTGTCTCCTCACCTGTGAACTGGTGAGGAAATTCTATTTCTAGAACTGCTGGGGAATTTAGTAGGCTCTTTAGGATGACATATGACAACAGTGACCTTTGTTGAGAACTCATCCTGTATTTATTTATTTATTTTTAATATATTTTTATTGATTTCAGAGAGGAAGGGGGAGAGAGAGAAGAGAGAGAGAAAGGGAAGGAGGAAGGAAGGGAGGAGGAGAGGAAGGGAGGGAACGAGAGAGAGAGAGAGAGAGAGAGAGAGAGAGAGAGAGAAACATAAATGATGATAGAGAATCATTGATCAGCTGTCTCCTGCATGCCCCCTACTGGGGACCGAGCCCGCAACCCGGGCATATGCCCTTGACCAGAATCAAACCTGGGACCCTTCAGTCCACAGGCCAAAGCTCTATCCACTGAGCCAAACCAGCTAGAGCTCACCCTGTATTTAACTTGAAGCAACGTTTTATCTGCATTCACTGGCTCATTAAACCTGCTGTGCTAGTCCATGTCACCTACATTTTATAGCTGAGGGTACAGCCACTGGGGCCAAGGATATGCTTACCCCAGGGCCCTCCACACCACTCCTGGTCTTGGCATGGAGCTATCTTGCCCACTGGGTTGAAGCCAGCTCATACCCTCTTCCCACCTCCTCACCCCACTGGCGCCTGGGCATGAAAGAGCTTCCTGTTTCTCCAAGGAATTACCAGCTGTAAGCTCCCAGCAGGGCAGCCAAAACTGGTCCATTCATTTGCCCCAGTGAGGAGAGACTGGGCACTCCCTCCCCCCTCCCCCTAAGGGATGGAGCAGAGGGCACTCTAGAAGAACCAGGCACTGCAACTCTGCTTCACTGAGGGAAACGGAGGCACAGAAAAGCCCAGTCATTTGGCTAAGGTCACCCAGGGGAACCAGGATTCAAACCCTCGTCTGACTCCGGAGTTCCTTTCACTGGGCTGAGTTCTCTATTTTTTCAGGAGAAGAAATGGAGGCCCAGAGGGGGTCAGGGATTTGTTGAAGTCACACAGCAAGTATGGGTCCGCAGGGACTCTCTCTGGGAAGGCAGCCCCACCCCTGACAGAAAACAGGTCGCACTTCTCAAGAGTTTGTTATCCTTGAGCAGGGCAGGGAAAGGCCCTTAAATAGCTCTGAGCCTTGGTTTCCCCCTGGGGAATAGGTTGAATGGCTGTCCCAAGGCCCCAGCCTGGAGAGATTTGAGGGTGAGTGTGATGGGGTCCCTGGCCAGCAGCACCCTAGGGACAGGTCTGAGTCTGATTTATTCGCTGGGGTCTGCCTGGGGCCAGCAGGGCTGGCTCAGAATAGACAGATGCTCCCTCAGTGCCAGCTGAACTCGTCAATTCTGACAGGATGTGAGCCTGGGAGTCTGGGTAAGAGGGGGTAACGGTGGGAGTGGGAGGGATGGCTGGGTGTGAAGGGACTGAGCTGAGCTCATGTGGGAACACCCTGAGCCATGACTAGGGTGAGGTTGAGTGGCTTTGCTGAGTGTGGCCCTGGGAGGACTGTATGTCTCCATGTTGGTGACACGGTGCCAGGTGATCATGATTGGGTGCTGGCTGGCTGCAGGTGTGCCCACAGCTATAGACATGGCTGGGTGTGAACAACATGGGACAAAGTGAGCTGTCTGTGGCAGCCAGGAAGGCTGAGGTACAGAGGTGTGTGGACACAGTGGGTGTTGAACACATCGTATGCGGGAAACGTATTTATACGTTTTACGTTGACTGTAAGTAGTAGAGCCACCTGTTACTACCCGCATACAATGTTAAGTGTGAAGGGACTCTAGATGGGGCCAGACTCATAGCTGTGAGTCTGGCTGTGCAGCGGGCATGACTTGTGTATGGCACTGGGAGGTTGTGTGTGGCCTGTGTGACTTATATGTGGCCTTGTCAGGTGTGGTTGTCTATGAGCCCTCTGTGCAGTCACTGTGTGTCTGGGATGTGATTGTGTGTTTCGGTTGTTTGTGACACTGTATAGGATAGATGTGAATCTGGTTTCATGTGCCCTGTCTGTATGTCACCTTGGGTATGTTGAGAGGCACTTGGGGGACACTGTCCACCCCTGAGACCCAGATCTTTTGGAGGGTCCAGCCTGCTCTGGCCCACCAGCTTCCTCCTCTGCTCCCTCCACCCACTCACAGCAGCCCTTGGCCTGGGGCCCCAGTGTTGGGGGGGACCGAGAAGGCACTCTGGGCTGGGGGATGGCTCACTCAATCCCAGTGCAGGTCTATAAATAGAATAGCTCTTTCAGCCCAGCGGATTCCCAGGCAAGGTTGCCTCATTCAAGCCCCCGGCAACAGCCCACCCCTGGGCCCCTGGCCAGCCCCTCTAAGCTCAGCCCTGGCACCAGCCAGGGGGCCCATGAGGTGGGCAGAGGGGGAGGGAGTGGAGGAGTGGGAGAGTTAGAAGTGGGGGTAAGTTTGGCTCTGAGGCCACAGACCTGGGCTCCCATCTGACTCATACTGTGCAACCATAATCCTTCCCCCTGAACCTCAGTTTTCCCAGCTGGAAAGTGGGCAGCAGCATGATAGCAGCTGCCATCTTGTGTATTTACTTCCCATCTCATTCCCCTGGCAACCCTGTACAGTAAGGACTCTTAATTATCCCTGTTTTAGACAGGGAAGTTTTTCTAAGCTGAGGCATAGAAAAACGAAACGGCTGACCCAGAGTCACTCTGTTAGGACAAGTGAAGAGGGGTTTGAATGCAGAACTTGTGGAGACCAAGCTGCCTGCTCCCATGCAGATCACACAACCACACCCAGACCCCAGGCCCCCGCCGCACTCTGTCACACAAGCCTGCCACCTGCGGGCACATCAGCATGATCCCTGACCTCTGTGATGAGGAGTCAGACAGCAAATGACCATCCACCTCCAGCCTGGGGAATTGACACAAGAGGAAGCCTGGGCGATCTTGCCTCCCAGGGGTCTTCCCTCACCCTTCACGCATTCCCACCACCACTTTGGTAATTTAGCTGAAAACATCTGTTTGTCCCCCCACCAATCTGAGACCCACCCCCAGAGATATGAGAACACACGTACATAAACACAGACGCAGGACTCTTGGTGGACACACAGACCCTCTGTCCAGTGCAGTCCGTTGTCAGTCCTGAGAGACTAGGACCATGGGAAGGAAGGTAGGGGAAGGGGCTGACCTCTTTAAGTTTTTGTCCCCCTTCATTTCCATTTTTTTTTCATTGTGGCAAAATACATAGAACATAAAATTTACCATTTCAAAGTGTACAATTCAATGGCATTGAGCATATTCACATTATTATGCAGCCATCACCTCTGTCTAGTTCTAGAACATTTCATCATCCCAGAAGGAGACCCCGTACCCATTAGCAGTCACTACCCATCCCTCCTCCCCCAGCCCCCTGGTAACCACTAATCCACTTTCTGTCCCTGTGGATTTGCCTGTTCTGGACATGTCATATAAACAGGATCATAAAACATGTGATCTTTTGTATCTGACTTCTCTCACTCAGCATGTTTTCAAGGTTCACCCACATTGTAGCATGTGTCAGAGCTTCATCCCTTTTAATAGCTGAGTAATATTCCTCTGTGTAGATCTAGGCTTTTTGAGATTAGTATCTCCCTGCCCACGCCCATGCCCCCTGTGACAACAGTACCTGGTCCACAGCAGGTGCTCCATAACTGCTGATTGGACAAAGGAATGAATGAATGGTACGTTCTGGCTGGAGCTGGTAACAGCAGCTCTGGGTGCGACACACCTGAGATTCCACCTTGCGTGTCTCTATCAGCTGTGGAACCCAGGGATCTGCTTACTCTCTGAGTCTCAGCTTCCGCTCTTTAAATGGAGTAAAATAATAACTAATCAAAACTGCTTCAAGCGTGAGCCCTGGAGAGTCAGGCGGGCCAGGGTTAGAATCCCAGCTTGTCCTTCCCCTCCACGTGACCTTGGGAGTAACTTTTTGTCCCCGGGGCTCAGTTTCCCCATCTGTAAGATGGGACATGCCCACCTTGGAACTTCTGGAGACATTGAACTTGGCTCCTGGGGGGGAGTGAAGCGCGGTCTTCCCCAGGGTGGGGCAAGCAGTGGAAGGAATGGGGAGGGAGTTTTAGTCTGAGGGGGCTCCTCCCTCTCGCAGCCGGAGGCCTCGGGCTGGCAGGGGCGCATGCGCAGAACAGCCCCGCGGCCCCTTTATAAGCGCTGAGGCTGTGCTGGGGTGAGCGGAGCGCAGGGCGCAGGGGCTGGACCTGGCGCGTCTGAGCCAAGCTGAGCGTCCTTTGTGCCGGGCGGGCGGCCGCCCCGGGATGCATCCGAGCTAGGAGCCAGGTGGGGGTCCGTCGCAGGGAATGGGCTAGTTTGGGGGAGAGGTCCTCGGGATTGGGGAGGGAGCCTGGGATCGGAGAGACGCCCCCAGAATGGGGAGGGGGCTATGGAGAAGGGAGAAAGGGAGCCCTGGGTTGGGGAGGAAACCCAAACTGGGAGGGGGCTTGGGAATGTCAGAGGAACTGGGATTGGGGGGTAAGGTTGTCTAGGGAATACGGAACTGATCCCTTGGTGGGGAAGGGCCCTGGTTAGGGGTGGGTCTCAGAATTGGGGAGGGGACACTGGGAACCAAGGCCAGAGGAGGGACACCGAGTTTAGAGAGAAGAGGGGGACACCGAGAGGCTGTGTGGGGACTCTGAGACAGGGCAGCCCAGTGTCTGAGCTGAGACACCCCAGGATTTTAAGTGGGGATTCCCAATTTGCTGATGAATGAAGGGTGCCAGGCTGGACTGCAGCGGGAAGGGGCCCCATATCAGTCTTAGCCTGGTGGGAGGGTCTGCACTGAGACCAAGGGGAAGGGGTGCCCTGCAGTCTCCTATCCTTTTGGCCCATGTGCTATCAACACATCCTGACTCAGGGAGAAAGCTCTGGGGGCCCCATCCCAAGGTGGTCCCTGTTGTTCCCTCAGACCTGGAGTTGGGGTGCTGTCCCTCTCCCAGGGAGCAAATTGGGTTTCCCAGGTGAATACTGGATCAGAGCCCCCGAAAGTACAAGTTACGGACCACCAGGACCGGTGAGGGGCACCAGTTCCATGAGGGGCTGCCTCAAGCACCTCCATATCTGACGGTGTCCTCGCAGCCAGACACGGACCCTTGCCTCACCCTCCAGTTCCATCTGTTCATACAGTTGCATGTGGAGTCCTCGTTGGGTTTGGAGGCACAAATGCTAGGAAGTAGGGGGCTGGGACCCCAGCCCCAGCCTGGGCAGCAGCGACCCCCATCCCTGTGCACAGGGCTTTGTTCCTTTCAATAGCATTAATGGGAGACAGCCAGGCTGAGGAGAGGGTTGGCGCTGGGCCCCAGCGGGGGACTTGGGGGAAGGGCAGGGAAGAAGGGTGGGCAGACCATGGGACCCCAGAACCCAGCAGCCTTTCTTACTTCTGGGCATTCCTACATGTAAGATGACTCCCTAGGAGGTGGGGACTTTGTGTGTGACTACCCCCTGCTAGGAGAGGGTATGTACCCGGGAGGGGGGGCGGTCTGGGATCCTCTGTGAGTCTAATGTGACAGATTGTCTTTGTCAGGAAACTCGTGCCAGGGGCCACAATACCAGGTGGCAAAATGATGTGTGCCCATCAGTCACCAAAGCCACCGTTATCCAACCTGGGCTGTGCCAGGGGCTGGCATTGCCATGTGTGTGTGTGAGGCGCCGTGTCTAACGATGTGGCCTCAACAAGGGGTTTATGTGGGGAGCCTGAGAATGTGGGTGTGTGTCTTTGTGCAGAAGACGTCTGCCTGCCTTGTCAGTGCCCATATGGTCTCTCTTTGTTAATGTCATTGTGAATCTTTATGTGTGTGTGTGTGTGTGGCTCTCTCTCTCCTGGGCTCTGAGTCTGGGGTGTATGGCTGTGTTTGTGTCCCATGTGTACAACAGTGTTCCTCTCCATGTGATTGACAGTGCGGACCGGGGTGTGGGGGTTCGAGATGTGGTCTGTGTGCAGAATTGGAAAGGGGAGACACTGGCAGGGAGTTCGGTCCGGAAGGGGCAGCCTGGGGTGATTTATTGAGCTGGTTTCTTTTCTCCTCTGAGGCGTTCCATGCTCACACCTATGTACTCATATACTCCCTGACTCCCTTCCGAGGGGCATGCAGACCCACACATCCAGAGACCACAGGGTGTCCTCTATGCTCCACCCAATGCACAGAGCTGCTAGGGACCTGCGCACAAGTCCACATACTACAGGGCAAACCTCATGGATATCCTCACCTGGACACAGCACACCCAGGCACAAACACACACAAATGCCCACTGGCAAACTCACCCTCACTCAGTGTCTACTGAGACAGAAGGTGGTTGTGAGAAGGGATGGACACACACACACACACACACACACACACCCCTCTTCCTCCTGCCACCCCTCCTGCACACCCCTACTTGCATATGCATGAGGTTCATGTATTATTGATGAGGTGACAAGCCCCAGACAGTTTTGTAAATGCTCACCTCTGAAGGCCCTGGGAGAGATATTTTAAGAGAAATGGTGTGGGTGTGTGAGGGTGCAAGTAGAGGGAACTGAGTGTGTGTGGGAGGACATGTGTGTTGGGGGGAATGCACCTGAAACTGTGTCTGTCACCATGTTGGACCACCTCTGTATATTTGAGTATGTACATGAGACTTTGTGCACAAAACAACTGTTTTTTAATTCACCATTTCTAGGAATTCACATGTCTTAGCTCATTCTATCCTCACAGTAACTACCTGAGGTACATGCTGCATAACCCCCATTTTAAAAGTGGGGAAACTGAGGCACAGAGTGATAAAGCAGTCTGTGTAGGGTCATGTAACATGCAGAGAACAAAGGCAGGGCTTGAAGCCCTGTCATCTGGATATAGTATGAGCTCTTCACCATAGTGTGTGTGTGTGTGTGTGTGTGTGTGTGTGTGTGTGTGTGTGAGAGAGAGAGAGAGAGAAAGAGAGAATTCTCAGAACTAGCCCCCTCCTAAGACCCTCCTGGGACAAATGTATCCCAGAATCCTGCCCCACCCTCTAATACCCAGCCACAGGTCCCAATGCCTGGCCTCTCCCTTGCTGTGCAGCCCTAAGCAAACAGCTAGCCCTCTCTGAGCCCCATCGCAAGAAGACAAAGTGGGCATTGATGAGTTCAGCACCACGGACAGGTCCCGGTCCAGCCTCCCATCAGAGGCTTCTGGTAGCTGGGAAGGGCCTTCTGGAGGGGGCCAGCTCTCCCCCACAGTCCTCATCTGGACTCCATCCACTCTTCCCTTTCAGGGTTATTATTTTATTGGAGAGAGGTGCAAGGCTGGGTTTATAGGTGATGCTGTAACTCCCCATCTGCCCCCACCTCCTGAGCCCTGGCGAGTCTGTCCAGAGGGGCGTCCTTCCCGGGGTTTCCAGTCTCTGGAAGAATGTGAGGTCAGGGAGGCCACTGCTGTGTCCCAGTGCTTGGAATTGGCCTTGCTTACAGTTCACACTCAATAATTGTCCACTTTATGCCCACAGGCCACTACCCTGTAGAAAGCTAGACCCATGCGGGAGTCTTTGTGGACCTAGGAGGCATCTTTGCCAGGCAGTGTGAAATGAGGGGGAGGGGAGGGGAGGGGGGTTGGGCAGGGCAAGGCCCATCCTCCAGCTGAGACTTGGCAGGGCCTCAAAAATCCCCGAAACCAAGAATAGAATCTTGGCGACAATCAAATCCTGGAATTGAAGCTGAGAATCATGTCCTTCAGAAAACCCAGATTAAAGGCTGGCTTGGAGGCCAGCCTGTTGCCAGGACTGGGGACCCCAGGCAGACTGGGACTGGCTGCTGCCCTTTAGGGGCTCCCCTCCCCCCAAGTCTAAATGAGGAGGCCAACTTGAAAAATGGGATTTTGATCTTGCCTCTGTTAAGGTTAATGATGATAATAATAATAATAATAATAATAATAGCTGAAATTTACTCTTTCGTGCCAGGCAGTTCTAAGCATTTTAAATGTATTGACTCATCTATTCCTTTCAAGTACCTGATGATTTCCCCCATCTGACGTACGAAGAAACTGAGACACAGAGAAGCTAAATTATTTGCTCAAGGTCACACAGCAAGGAACAGACACAGAGACAGCTCCAGGTTCTGATTCACTCCAGCATCCATACTTCTGACCATGAGACATCACTGTTGGGATTCTGAAGTCAGCTGGTGCTGGGTTTGGATTCTGGCTCTGCCCTTGCTTGCTGCCTGTGCAACTTTGAATGACACACTGGCCTGTCTGAGTCCCAGTTTCCAGATCTGTAGAGGGGGGATGAGTTTTTCCATGCCAACTCTCTGGGGGGATTGTGTTCACCCCTCCCTCCCTCTCTTTCTTGATCCAGGTCCAGGATGGGGGCCATGCCTATCTGGGCCTCGGGCCTCCTGGTGCTCCAGATACTGCTCTTGGTGGACGGGGAACAGGGTGAGTTGGCCTGTGTGGTGGGAGAGGCTGGGGTTTGGACAAGATGGGGCAGCGCTTTTTAACTCAAGAGTCTTTTCCTGCTGGTTCCCTGGCTTAGTGTGGAGAATAAAACGAGAATAGATGAAAAAGGTCTTTGAACAGTCAAAAGCCAACAAGACACCTGAGAGGTTATTTTTAGTCATTGCCAGCAAAAGCTGGAGGTTCCTGCCTCTCACCATTTTGCTATGATGAGTTAAAGAGAGAGAGAGAGAGAGGAGGGGGAGGAAGGGAGGGAGAAAGGAAAAAGAGTAGAGAAGGGAGAGGGAATGGGGGAAGGAGGAAAGAGGAAGGAATGAGAATAGTGTGCACATTGATTAGTGATGTCTGTCATGGACAGGGCAGTAGAAATAAAGGTCTGTGTTCATCTCACTGGCATCTCCCCAGGGGTGGTCAAAAGCCCAGGCTTTAGAAATGCCTCCTGAATTGCTCTGTGGCCATAGGAAAGTACAATAATGTCTCTGAGCCTCAGTTTCCTCACACCCCCCCCCCAAAAAAAGAGGATGATGACATATGGCTACCTCTGCAGATAGTTATGATAATCAGATGGGCTGCTTGCTATCTATAAAGTGCCTGTTCCATAGAAGGTTCTCTGCTACACCATGTCTCTTCCAATGGCTACCTCTCCCTTAACTTCTGGGGAAACTGTGTCTCAGAGAAGCACAGTGACTTTCCCAAGGTCACACAGGGAGTCAGTGACACAGAGTCGCTGGCCTCAGGGACCTGGACTCTGAGTGGAGGCAGAATTACAAAGGGGTTTGACCCCATTCCTCCTCTGCTGCTCACAGATCGGGGTGCAGATCTCTCTGGCCTGTGTCTCCCTACCTATAAAGCGAGGGAAACAGTCTCTGCTGGTCCTTGCCTCTGAGTTAGGCCTCTCTCCCCCTTCCCCACCCCAGGCACACAGGACACGGCTGCTGTTGCCACGGCTGCTGCTGAGAAGGGGCTCCGCATGCAGAAGGTGGGGTCTGGTTCTGTGCGAGCTGCACTGGCGGAGTTGGTGGCCCTGCCCTGTTTCTTCACCCTGTGGCCACGGCCGAGTGCAGCTGGAGAAGCCCCTCGGATCAAGTGGACCAAGGTGCACACTGCATCAGGCCAATGGCAGGACTTGCCCATCCTGGTGGCCAAGAACAACGTGGTTAGAGTGGCCAAGGGTTGGCAGGGACGTGTGTCTCTGCCCGCCTACCCCCAGCACCGGGCCAACGGCACGCTGCTACTGGGGCCCCTGAGGGCCAGCGACTCCGGGCTGTACCGCTGCCAGGTGGTGAGAGGCATCGAGGATGAGCAGAACCTGGTATCCCTGGAGGTGACGGGTCAGTTGAGGGCAGGGGAAGGGTCAAGGCGGGAAGGGGAGGAGCTTAACCTGAAGGTCACCCAGTGAATATCACCTAAGAAATATTAATTGGGCACCTCCCACATGCCAGCCTGGTGCTAGGGACACTGTCATGACTGAGATGCAGCTGCCACCTTCTAGGGCAGTGATGGCGAACCTTTTGAGCTCGGCGTGTCAGCATTCTGAAAAACCCTAACTTAACTCTCTCTGCTGCCGTGTCACATATAGAAATTTTTTGATATTTGCAACCATAGTAAAACAAAGACTTATATTTTTGATATTTATTTTATATATTTAAATGCCATTTAACAAAGAAAAATCAACCAAAAAAATGAGTTCGCGTGTCACCTCTGACACGCGTGTCATAGGTTCGCCATCACTGTTCTAGGAGCTCCCAGTTTAATAAGATGGAGCAAAATGTTTCATTCCTATATCTGGCTCAACCATTTCTTTCATCCCTAAATCAGAATTTGAGTCACAGAAAGCCCGTTCAATAATGGGCTTCCCGTCCTGACTTACATGTCACCTCCTCCAGGAAGCCCTCCAAGCCTCCATGTCTAGGCTGGGCAATAACCACATTAGATCTTCCATTGCTGCCAGTGATTCCCCTATCAATGCATGTACTTAATTCCTAAATGGCAGGATCTCTCTTACTCTTCTTCATACCTCCTGTCACCTCCTGGGCCTAACCATGGGCATGAAGAATGCTATTGTTGGAGTCAGCTCTTCCAGGATATGAATTCTGGCTCTGCCTCAAACTGGCTGTGTGACCATGGCCATGTCACTGAACCTCTCTGAGCCTTAATTTCAATGAGATAATGCTTATAAATGCTTTTTACATAGTAAATATTTGACAAATTCTAGTGCTTTATGGCCATTGCTAACAGCTTCCTCATCTGTGAAATGGGGGCATATCAGTCTCATCCCCACCACTGCCCCTAGTGTCACATCTGGTGCTGAGTGAAGGGCAGTGTGGGGCAGCAGTTCTATTATTATCAGACTAACAGGGGGAGGGGGAGGGCATTCTGCAGAAGGAGGTGTGTTCTTAAAGATTTCAGAACAAATCGGCCCCCTATTCTGGATGTCCCTTCACAGGTGTTGTGTTTCACTACCGGGCAGCCCAGGATCGCTATGCACTGACCTTTGTCCAGGCCCAAGAGGCCTGTCGTCTCAGCTCAGCCACCATTGCAGCCCCACGGCACCTGCAGGCTGCCTTTGAGGATGGCTTTGACAACTGTGATGCGGGGTGGCTCTCTGACCGCACTGTTCGGTGAGGGGGTGCGCAGGGCGGGGAAATGGAGAGCTAGCCCCTGGGGAAAGATGGTTTTTGGGGGCCCCAGGAGCACACATCCTTGTCTTGTCAGGTATCCTATCACCCAGTCCCGTCCTGGTTGCTATGGTGACCGTAGCAGCCTTCCAGGGGTGAGGAGCTATGGGAGGCGCGACCCACAGGAACTCTATGATGTGTATTGCTTTGCCCGTGAGCTGGGGGGTAAGTCTGGGGCTGACAGGACCCTTCCCTTCCCTGAGCCCGTTACCTTCCCCAACCCCCATCCCTCCTAATCCTCATCCTTTAAACCTGCAGCCAAGACGTGGGCCCACCCCTGCCCTGAGCTTTCCTCCCCTCCCTGAGCCCCTCTCCTTCCCGGTGCCCCTTCCCTCGATCTGCGCCTCTTCCGTCTCTGAGGCCCCGAGCCTTTCCCCCTCACTACGCCCCTCTGCCCCTCTCCTCCTTCCTACCACCCCTTACCGAGCCCCTCCCTCTCTCTGAAGCCCGAACTGCCATATTTGTAAAAAAGAAGTTAAAGCGGCCTCTTATTTGGAGCGAGCCCCCCTTCCCGGGTGGGCTCCAGGTAGGGTCCCCTGGGCCCGCCTGACCTCTGCTCACTCCTTCCGGCGCCTGCCTTCCCACAGGCGAGGTCTTCTACG